GATTTTAAGAATTATCGATAGTTCTGGTGAACCCACGGAGGTTTTTTGTCGCAATAGATTGGGAATTCAAAGCCGGAAATATTCTGAATCAATTCATTTCACAGTGATCAGTTTGCGACTGTTCATCAGTCCCACTGAAACTTTTACTTACAGAGAGCAACATGGAGGATGGGCATTTGAATGGCCTTCAACAAAGATGCTCGAAGGAGCACAAATGGTAGATTCGTTCAGAAAACTGCATCCTAATCCACTGACTAAACCAGGTATCATAAATGCTCGATAATTTATTCCGAATCAGTCCTGGAATAACTCAAAAAATCATAGAATTANTTTACTTACAGAGAGCAACATGGAGGATGGGCATTTGAGTGGCCTTCAACAAAGATGCTCGAAGGAGCACAAATGGTAGATTCGTTCAGAAAACTGCATCCGAATCCGCTGACTAAACCAGGTATCATGAATGCACACAATTATTCATTCAGAATCAGTCCTGGAATAACTCAAAAAATCATAGAATTACTATGAATTCGTTTAAACCTAAATGAGATAATCATTATTGAATTTCGATGTTGCTGTTGGAGAAATTCGGAAAACTGAACAGAAAACTGACCAAGGATCAGTTTCGACAGTATTCAATCCGCTGAAAATTCCTACAAATGAAAATCTTTCACTTGCAGGAAATACTTGGTCTACGGTTGAGAAGAAAACAAGTGGAGGTTGGGGATGGACGATTCCCGAACCACAGGATCGGATTGACTTCATATTTTACAAGGGCACTTCATTGCAACCCATCAAATCAACCACATATCAAGGACGTGACGTCGTATGGCCCAAACCATATCACTGGCATAATGACTATCCATCAGATCATTTTGCAGTCATCACAACTTTTGCTCTCATTCGAGGTTATTAACTGTGACCGAAGCGGAATGTTAGCATAGTCCCAATTGATGCTATATCTCTCAAGAAATTGTTTGTGATAAAAGTAATATCATTTCATCCGTTGGATGGGATATGTCTCTGGAACTAACGATAAGTTATATTTAATGATCTAAAAATATTGTCTGAACCAGAAATTCTGACTGAGATCTATGGAACAAAACGTGGAGCAGATATAATGAAGTATTAACCAGAAGGAACACGAAAGTTTTGTGTACCTTTAAAAAACTGCTTCTACAAGTGGTTTTTACGCTGTCGTTGATGCTAGATTTTAAGACAATCAGGGAATTGATCCACCGATCAAGAAATTTACTGTTAACAATCATTTACTGATCGATTGTTATATAAGAATCAATAATTTCTGACCAAACAACTATCCTGAAGACATTATTGGACAACTATGCGATTACTATGAGTGAAAAATTAATTAACGCTAAGGTGCTAATCTGTTCAGTTTCTCCTAAGCACCTCCGAGGGTGCTTCGTCCCTTCGTCCCTTAGAGGGTGCTTCGTCCCTTATGATAACCCCACTGGTTTATACAGTTTGAATGTGTTAGATTCAGTCTCCAACCGGACATTTCATCATGCGATACAATTACAAGTATCGCATTAAGAGAGATAAAGTGCACAACTCACTCTTCAAACCGATTCATTGCTTCGCTCGAAGAGTCCTCAACCATGCTCCCGTGTAGTGCAGTTGTTCATGCATAATCCTGATGTACAATTTGTCAACA